CTACCGACTCCAGCGATGAGGATCAGGACAACACCTGCCCTCACTGCGACCGCACCTTCACCTCACACATCGGCCTGGTCGGTCACTTGCGAATCCATCGCACAGAGACTGGCGAGCCAGTGCCTGGAGCACCAACCTACACCCACCGCACTCGCCTTCACTGCCCACACTGTCCTCGCACCTTCACGCATCGCATGGGTCTATTCGGCCACATGCGCATTCACGAGAGCGGAATTGACCACAATGCCGACACACTCACCACATCCAACACACCCGCCATGCCCAACACCACCCTCGCTTCATCGCCACACGCGCCCATCACCACCACCACCACCACCGCTTCCTCTACAGCTGACACCGACAACGTCGACCTCTCATGCCCACACTGCCCGCGCACGTTCACCTCACGCATCGGCCTGGTCGGTCACTTGCGAATCAATCGCACAGAGACTGGCGAACCAGTGCCTGGAGCACCAACCTATACCCACCAAGCTCGGCTCAACTGTCCACACTGTCCTCGCACTTTCAGGCATCGCATGGGTCTATTCGGTCACATGCGCATCCACGAGAACGGAATTGATCACAATTCCGACACACTCACCACATCCAACACACCCACCATACCCAGCACCACCCCTGCTCCATCGCCATACGCGCCCATCACCACTGCCTCCTCTACAGCTGACACCGACACCACCGACCTCTCATGCCCACACTGCCCTCGCACTTTCAGGCATCGCATGGGCCTATTCGGACACATGCGCATCCACGATGACCTGCGGTAGGCAACCGCCGGTTACACCACACATCCACACACTCCCTACCTTCCTCCACCATCACCACTACACATCAACACGCACCCAACTGCCACCTCCCACGCAAGTGGGAAGTCCGCATCTCGACTCGGTCCCCATGCGGCTTCGGCTGCACGGGTGACTTGAGTCCGAGGCTATCCCGACACGTCAAGCGTCGTGGATAGGAAGGTTGCTGATTGACGCCCGCTATCGGCTCACACAGTTCGTCGCGTTGTGTGTGTGTGTGTGTTGTGTGGAGTGGCGGACTGGTGGGCTGGGACGGGCTGAAGCTGCACCTTCCACGGCCCTCTCACGCATGTGAGAGACACGCCGTTCAATCCCCGTTGTGCGAAATCTTGGTGTTGTGTGTATGGGGGGCCAGGTCGTGTCGTGGCGCGCGCAGTCATGGTCAGTCGACCATGACAGCCACCGCCCCCACTCTCCACTCCAGTCTGCTGACCGGCTCGGACAGCGGCTGGGGTGTGGGAGTGGGAAGGGAGAGTGAGGTCGACGACTCAGCGCACTTCCTCCTCACTATAAACAATCTGACGCGTTTGAAGCTATCACGGTGCGCTAAAAGCCGTGGCTTGGAAGGTTGCCAACTGACGGGATAACTTGGACCTCCTCCTTGACTGGAGGCGGTCTGAGAGTCAAGTTGCAATGGCGCCTTTTTAATGTGGCCTTTATGGCACTCCCACCACAGTGTGGGATCCGAACCAGGCGTTGGCGGTACGCCTAGGTGCGGCTTCGGTCGTGCCAGCCTCCAAATCTCTCTTGTGTTGGTTGAAATCCTGGTTATTGTTGTGTGGACCAGGGGGTGTGGTGGAACGCCAAGGTGAGGGCCCGTCCGAGCCATCCACCTGCGGCCCCCTCGTCTCCGGTCTACTTAACTCGGTCTTGACACCGGACTCAGGCGAGGGAGGAGGAGAGAGTGTAGGTAGATGCTACGCAAGTCTACTGGCACTATAAACCCCTGCGTAAGTCACCGTCCCTGCTCCCACTGCTGCTGCAACTGTGGGGCACACGGTGGACATCATCGAAATCGACGGTCGAACTGTCAGGTGTGTGTGTGTATGCCCTCTAACCGGGCCACGTGTTAGATGCGCTGGACCAACACGGGGGCCACATCGGACTCTGGCAGGCGTTATCTGTGCGTAATAACAAATTCCAACATTCCCGGGGTGCGCTGGCGGACCCTGTTGTCGGCATTCGCCGTACAACTGGACCACTGTCACCACCCCATTGTTTTGTGGTCAAAATCCTGGTCATTTGTGTGTGGACCAGGGGGTGCGGAGTGGAGCACCAAGGCGAGGATCCGTCCGAGCCATCCACCTGCGGCCTCCCCCGTCTGCGGTCTTCTTGACTTGGTCTTGACACCGGACTCAGGCGAGGGAGGAGGAGAGAGTGTAGGTAGATGCTACGCAAGTCTACTGGCACTATAAACCCTTGCGTAAGTCACCGTCCCTGCTCCCACAATGCAGTCTGTGGGGCACACGGTGGACATCATCGAAATCGATGGTCGAACTCCAATTGTTTGTGTGTGTGTGTGTGTGTGTTTGTGTCAGGCGTAGACGGTCTGTTTTACTTTGTCAGTCACTCCACCCGAGCTCATCTCCGATCGTCTTGACAATGTCTTTCAACAGGAGCCTGGTGGATGGGAAGCCGTGGGCGCGATAGATACTGTGCAAGTCTGCCTTACTATAAACTAATTCTCAAGAAGGTAACCAACCCTGTGTGGGAC